ATTGTGTTACATCAGTCTGAGGTGATGGAGGAGGGCAGAGATGCTGGAAGTGAAGAATAAACTCTGTGTACCAATCTAGTAACAGTCCTTCTTGTCTGATTTGCCCCAGCAATGGTAGGCTGAAACCCTCCCAAATCCCAATTTTGACTGGTTTCCATCTCTCCGTTAACTAAACCAAGACTTTACTGCCAGCCAGCCCCAAGCTCTGGGGAGCATCTAGATCCAGAGCTGAGCTCTGTGGTGTAGAAACATCTCTCCCTTTTAAATGTAGCCCTTCTGAGCAGGTGAGGATGCTGCTGACAGACAGGTGCAACGAAGGCTAAAAAATTGGCCCTGGCAATACAAATCCAAGTGTTTCCCAATGCAGAAGAAACAACTTGTTGCTCGCCTCATACAAAGAGCTCAACACCTCTATAATCCTCCCCAAGATCACAGGCTATGTCCACCTGATCCTACAAGTGGCCTCCAATACACAAGATGCCCCTGAGATGCCCCCTGAGCCTCTTCTCCCAGCAGCACTGAGTTTCAGCGGCAGGTAGGGACATCACCTTCTGTTTTAGGAGGTTTCATGTTGCATGGATGAGCAATAGAGATAACTGCAAAGGATGTGTTTGTTAGAACAAGGTGGGGCCACGTACAACCAGAGAGAGCACAGCAGGTTAGACTGGAAAGGCCCCAAAATCTAAGTCTAAACAGAATTCATGCATTGAGCACATCTGATCATCTCTTGTGTCCTATATCTGTAACAAAAGACCTCAATCAGTTGGGTCCTCTGGTGAGGTGGGAATCGACCGACTTCAACGGGTTTTGGGTGTGGTCTCTGGTTTGCACAGCAGGTTTGCCACCTGCCAGTCAAGTCCTTCACGTCTGGGGCTGTTGTGATCAAACATCTTAAAGATGGAAGGGACCTTACGCATCCTACCCAACGGCTGGCTTTGCTGCACCTAAATGATGGCACAGGTACTCCGTGTGTCACCAGGTAAAGTGCAGACAGGGCTCAAAGTGTTGTGTGGCTCCCAACAGGCTGCGCTAGAAAGGAATGAGTTTGAAAGAACGTGGCATCAGGCGAGGCCATAGGACAATTTTGGTCCTGGTGCCACTAATGCTGAGCGGCTCTCCATAGAAATGGGCTTGGTTCTCTTGGCACCTTTGGGTGAGCTGGGCTAGTTTGATAAGAGCAATCTCCTTTTTTAACTCTACAAAGTCCTAATCCCAGTAACTTCCTCATCTGCTTCCCCTGTTCTGCTTTCCTTCCATTCCTCTGCTCTCAGCACATACTGTTCATTGTCACGGCCTCGTTATGCGCAAAAAGCAAGTCTTCCCAAGGGGCCGGTACCAAATTAACTCCTGCTATAGTGCACGAGACACAGTAGCATCCTGGGGTTAAAGAGGTGATCCTCCCTCCCACCTCCTCCCCAGCCCAGGTTGTTCCACCAGCCGAATACAACCACTGGGATGCAATTTTGCTCCAACTCCCACCAGAATCAATCAAAGCAACTCACCTGAAGCGGTGTGCCTTGCCCTGAGATAAAAGCAGCATGAAAGCAGAACTGAGCTCCCTGCATCGCCACCATCATTGGCACTTTCCAGGTGAAACTCCCCCTACCAACTGCAATGCTTAATATTTCACCAGTGACCCACTGCAGCCTGCTGCCCTGTCCCAAACCAGGTACTCTTCCCTTCCAGCTGCCTACTCCAGAGGTCTCCAGCAGTGTCCAGCTGTCTAGTGCTCTCACGCGCAGTAGACAGTACAACATATCACTGTTCTCAATGGTTGTGCCACCTAGAGCCATTCACCACTGTGCAGGTTGTCATGCAACGGCCTCGTTAACACGTACCGCTCGTGCTCCCGGTCGTAATTATCCTGAGCGTGTGTTTCCTGTGTCCGAAGTCCGTTTGGAATCCATGTGTGTGTCATACCGTGTGTGTCTTAGAGCCTGTTTGTTTGTATTCACACAAGTGGTGTAACATGAAAACTTCTGTCCCGGTGAAATACTCTAATAAAAAAAATAAAATAAAACCGTGCATGGGAGGCTCTTCACTGAGCGATTGAAGGAGCTTCTTCACTTTGGCTTAATGACGAGAAGGCAATGGGAAGATCATTGCTTGCAATGACCCCCCTCGGGAGAAGAGCCGTGGTATCAACAGACTCCAATGGCTGGTAGCTAATTATAGCTCACTCGGGCTGCCTATGAGGTGCAAATTGAACTCCAGTGGGAGGTGGAGTGAGGGTAATTAGCCACTGGAATAAATTTGCAAGGAACGTGATGGACTCTCAAACCACTGATGCCTTTCAAGTGAGACGCGAGGTCTTCCTAAGAGGTATGTCAAGCCATTGACTTAATGCAACACAGGCCTCTAAGTGCAAGTCTTGGCCGTGAGGGCCTGCAAATCTGTCAACCCCCAGAAGAGTGCTAGCAAAATGTATATATTCACCATGTCTTGCCATCAGCTGAAACCCGGGAAGGACATAGGTGTTGCAATGCCTAACTTCCACACAGCCTGCCAGCTCAGCCCAGGTAGGGAACCCAACCATTAACACCAGCACACGTACACCCAATCCCCAAAAACGTTGCCCCCTCCCTGATCTTTTTCAGCCAGGCCTAATTCAGTAGGTGAACTCAGCCCACCTCTACACCTGGGCCCCGCCGGCCGCGTGAGCAGTGGAAGGTGCATTTTGCGACTCCTGCTAGAGGGAAGTCTGTGCATCTGCAGGGATAGGCTGCAACTGAGTGAGGGCTTTAAAGCTCTCCATGGTGCCAAAATGTTGGTCTTACGGGTCTGAAGAGGCTGAGCCTCAATCCTTGTGTGGCTCCAGCCATTGCTTTTGGCAAGCAAATGTTACCCCGCAGCAGGGCAAAGAGAAGCACGCAGAGTGAGGATTTACTTGTCCGCTGTCCCTTCAGCCCCCTCCATTTCTGTAGACATTGCTCATTCTCATCATTTCCAGCCTTTTGCCCAGAGGGAATTTTGTTTTACTGCTTAGACGTTCCCGAAACCCGATGCCGAAACCCAATGGCCGTGATGCTACGAGAGCTGACGTCTTTGTCTCTTCCTCTGGGCTGGGAGTTTTATTTAGCAGAAAAAGCCCAGCTCTTCAGGGGCTACAGGAGCTGTACACCCATGTTGAATAACAGGCGCCATGGGCCTTCCTCCCAGGCCTGCAGGGGAAGATGTGAGCTCATAACAGCACCCGAGCGCATGAGCTCAACTTTATTTAAAATAGCAGCCGCCGTTTACAAAGAAACGCGTCATTGCATGTTCAAGTACAGGTTGTATGGCTTAGTCCTAGAAAGCGCCGACCCCCCTCCCCACACAGAGAGGGAAAACCGAGGGCTGAGGCCCACCATGGGAATCCAGCAACCACCTGGATTTAGGGCCAATGATAAGGGATGCTGTGAAGGGGAAAGGTTTGGGGGGTGGGACTCATGGGCAAGTCAGTGCAGCACAGATTGTGCACTAGGTTTATAGTCATGGGGGTCACCTCTCCAAAGTGCTGAGCCCCCATTTCCAAGACCATGAGTGAGTCCCCACATGCTTGGCCTCTCTGGGGAGGCTGCCCTAAGAGGAGATGTGCTTCTTCCTCTCTCCTGGCAGGGCTGAGGCAGAGCAGGGTGGAGTGAAACGTGGCATCGCCCTCTCCCTAGGCTGTACCTATGTTGTGGGCAGACACGGGACTCTCAACTCCATCCTCCGCCCCATATGGCACCAAGACACGCAGCCTTCACATGCTGCTGCAGCAGCACATGTGGACTATTCAGATGCACACAGTATGGAGCAGCCTTGACCATGCCAAGGTCTGAAGTGGGGGTTGCCAGGAGAGGCAGGAGACACAGGGCACAGCCCAGAGGAGGGGCAAGCAAGGTGAAACATGGGACAAGTTCTCTGTAATGTGCTCAATCTGCTGGGAAACTGCAGGGCTGAGACTGGGGGATTCAGATGCTTAGTGGAGGCAACCAGGTGGAAGGCATGCCTCTGCCACCCCGGCCCTCTGGGACGCGAGGGTGAGGATCTGCATGGTGCCTTGGGGCTTTACACACCCATTTCCCACTGGTGTCAGTGGGAACTGGGTGGCCAAAGCTCTTCAGCAATCCCAGCCGCCCTCTTTCTCAAGGAGTGGCAAGCGGGAGGAGTGTCATGCAGCAGGGCCCTTCCACCAGTGGTGCCGTCACCCCCAACCACACTGGGGCCCTACTGTGAAGGAGGTGCTAACCCATTGAAACCACATGCTCTTCTTGGGCCCGGCCCAAATCCCAGTAAGACCAGTGGTGTGGCACTTACTGACTTTGATGGAGTTTGGATCAAGTCCGCTACCTCCCGACCCCTCGCAACACCCCGGATGAGCTGGCTGCCACCCTACCCAACCCTCAAGGCTGTAGCTGGGGCCGCCCCTCACCGCAGCAAGGGGGACGGTGACACGCAGCTTCTCACCTGGAAGCAGGTGATTGCAGGGAGCCTGGCCGAAGTGCTCTGTACAGAGTGGCTCTAGTTCTCCACATAAAAATACATTTAAAAAAACACGGGTGTTATGCACTTGGGAAAAGCCACATTTCCATGAGACTTTTTCTGATATTAAAAGAGTGGGTGGGGGCACTGAGACAGGCCCAGCTCTGTCTCGAGACCCCCTTCCTCTTATGTCTCAGTTTCTGGCTGCACATGCTTGCCCATCCATCCGACTTCCCAAGCAACCTCCAAGAGCTGCCACCAGGAAGAGCCATCTAGGAGGAGTCCGAGGCATGTAGGAAGAGAAGGGCATCTCATGGGCATCAAGGTGTGGGCCAGAGGTGTGAGGCATCTTGGGCTTATCCATATTCCCCTGCCAATCTCCAGTCCTAAGCTGGGACCTCTCAGCAGGCATGAGGGTGGCCCCTCTCACTTCAGTTACTTGCAGTCACCCTGTACTGAGTACCCAGGCCAATGCCTTCGTGGAGCTTTAGCTTCTGGGCAACATCCATTCTCTGCACCGTGGGCCGGGTATCCACACCTTGGGGCTTGCTCCCTTAGACCAGCACAGATGGCAAATCATTGAGCTCTGAAAGAGAGAGGCTGTTCATGGGACTGCTG